ATTTGATCAAGTTATACAAAATTTTTTTTTGATCAAACATTATTTTTGGACTCAAATCTTGATTTATGATTTTATTTGAGTGATTTGTTTTCATTTGAAAACTTTTTTTCATGGTTCTGATGTTTTCCTCATTCCTTTGTTTTCATAACTTTTTTTTCATACATGGTTTGTATATTTGAGTAATGAGACATTATTTCATAATGACATATTAATATGTGTTCTTATTGTCATGTTTGTATGTGAGTTATGTTTAGCATATCTTTCATTTATGCTTACTCACATGTTAGTGCCTTAGCATTCATTTCATATATCCATTAAGGCATTTCGATAGGGGGAGCAATCCCTATACTTGTTTTATACTCACCCATGCTTATTTGTAGGGGTAGCTTTCGCTCTCTTTATTCTTGGTGTTTTCCCCTTTTTGATGTTGTCAAAGGGGGAGAAATATTATGAGTATATCTTGTTTTGGTTATACGCATGATAATTCTAATTTACATATTAATTTCCTTTCATGCATATATCTCTTTTTGTAAATTGTTTGTCTTCATCAAAAAGGGGGAGATTGTTGGCCTTCTTGTTTTGATGATGATTAACAAACAATTTACTTCTAATATTTTTTGTCTAGTATTTATGTTTATTTATTTATTCTAGACAAACAACATGTTGGAGGATGGATGGAATCGAGCATTCACGACCATATCAAATGGAGGTTGGCGGAATAGTGGTTGGAGCCTATGCAATTCAAGTGGAAGATCCAAGTTTAAGCTTCATCCGCAGAGTGTACCAAGTCAAGCTTATTGAAGATCAAGATAGCTTGGGTAACATTAGTTTAGGTTTTATATTATGTGTGTTAGTACTTTAAGCTCAATATTATACACACACATTATATTGATTTCCATGTATATATAGTTTCATATATACGTACATGATTGGTTTCTATGTATATATATAGTTATATATATACATACATGTTTTGAGTTTTCATGTTTATAAATATGAGATTACATATTTCATATTTGTTATTGTGTTTTGGTTTAGCTATATAGATATCAAACAAATTTACATTCATATATATAATCATATGTTTCATACTCTATTATGTTTAAGAATATATTGCGTAGAATATGTAATTTTTTGAAAATATTATGTTTCTAGTTTATAGACTTCATAACAACATTTCATATCTTTTAGCAAGTCTATATAATCAGTTTACAAAGTTTCAAAACTAGGTTTATGTCAAAACATCAAAAAACTCATGTTTGTATATTTTGGATATTTTTTTGTAAAATGACAAGTTTTCACAAATGGAAAATGCAATTTAGAAAATTCTTTTTGTAACATGTTCATAAACATGTTTATAATTATTTCCCAAAGTTTCATAATTTTTTGGACTTCATTTAATATTTTTAACATATTTTTAAAAGTAAAAATTCTATTTTCAAAACCTGGAAAACTGTGTATATCAGTTCACGGTCGATCACGCGTGCCTCTGCGGTCGTCCGCTCTTTATCCAGAGACTACATTTGAATTTTATCAAATCGCGGTCAACCGCCATTGGCTCTACGATCGACCGCCATTTTTCCAGAGAGTTTGTGAATTTTTCAGAACTTCTCACGGTCGACCGGATGTGGTTCTGCGGTCGACCGCGACTTTTTCAGCCTGTTTACCAACGACTAGTTTTGGCCCACGGTCGACCGCCAGTGGCTCTGCGGTCGACCGCCAATCAATAACGGCTATATTTCTGTACTTTCTAGATTTTGTGGGATTTGGTTTTTTTGGTCATTTTGCTTGGTTTTATTGAATCTCTTTGTTCACACACAACCTATTGAGCTTATAGTATTTACATTCATAGTATAATTTGGGTTGTGGGTTTGTGACTTAGAAAGTGAGCTTACAATTCGTTCTCATCCATTGTAGAGAACAAACACTTTGTATTTGTGCTTAATTTGTGAGGTTCACTTTGTAATACACTTGTACACCGAGAAGAGTGTGTGGTGAGGACGTAGTCGATACCGAGAGGAGTGGCGTCGGTAGCCTAGTGAGAGGTGGTAATTCCGAGCACTTGAGGGAGGCGATACATGAGAACCAACACTTTAGGTTGTTGCTAGTGTATGTATATTATGAGGATTTGTGAGAGTTGTCGGTTGACTTGATAACCGAGTGTGTAGAGTTTTCGGTTAGCTAGAAAATCGAGTGTGTAGAGAAGTTTAGGCTTCTAAATCGGATTGTGTAGTGGATTCTCCCTGAGAGTGGGGAGCGGAGACGTAGGACGGAAGGTCCGAACTCCGTGATCATATCGTGTGTTTGGTTTGCATTGGCGCACCTATTTTTGTTCATCTCATAGCCCATTACGCCTTGCTTATATTGTCCACTAGTTTATATATCACCCTTGTGTTTGTTATATATCCTTGCATATATTTCACCATACATCATATTTGCTAGGATAATTGTTAGCAAGTTTTAATTGGCATAAAATCAGATTAGATTAGCATAAACCCTATTCACCCCCCTCTAGGGTTCTTTCCTAGCGGCCTTAGGGTCTAACAAACGCGTGGTGTTTCTGGATCCTTTCTTCAAGAGTTGAACGCGTTCTTTTAACACGGATCCATTCATTCGTGGTTGAGTTGGAGGAGTTGCCTACCCGCTGTTGCGGCGCTTGGCGCCTCCTAGACTTCAGATCCGCTTCATAGCGGATTCCGTCAACTGGTTCTAAGGCCTTGACCAGCTAGTGCGCGAGGCGTTGTCGCGGTCTCTGACATGCCCTCTTTGATAGAACGGGCACATTATTGGTAGTCAACTCCTCGCCCAAGGAGTTCAGATCTGCGGCGTCGGCCTCGTCGGATGCTGACGGGACATTAGATCTTCTTGGGTCTTCAAATCCGAAGACCAACGGACCTTCCTTGACTTGCGAGGAGAGATGGATATGGAGGGGGAGGACAGATACTCCTCATACTTCTACTGGTCGAACTCATATTCGACCTCTTCTTCAACCGGGATGAGAATCCGAGGTTGCGACACATCAGCCTTTGCAGAAAGGCTGTCGGCTCCCACTGTGGTCGCTAGTTTGTTTTCGTTGAAAGCTGCCTTCATCATTAATTTCATTAAACTTTAGTCATTTACAAATGAATTCAAATAATGAAAATAAAAATTATTACAACTCTCTTGAAAATAAACACATGATCCGTTTATCGACTCTTGATTGCGTGGGTTCTTCGCCGGTGCCGAGGTTTATCCATGGACGACCGCGAATCAGATCCGGTTGATGAAAAATTTAGCAGACCTTCGCCTTCGCTGATGAAGTATTTGATTTGAAACACTGAGATCGACTAAGCAAAATTAGGGCTCTTCTCGAGATTAAGACCAAGCCTAATCTCAAGGAACGGACGTATGGGCTTCAGATCCTTTGAACGACTTCTCCTTTATGCCGAAGTTCGCCGGGATCTCATTAGCCTTTGCTAAAAATCCGTGCTCCTTGACTCCTCAATCCGGCAGCACCTCGTCCTCTTGATAAAATTCTAGATTGATAAAATGAAGGCCTTTGGCTCATATTTATAGGCCTCAGATGCGATTATTTGGATGGGACTGCTAGATTTCTCTGTATCTTCAGTTAACAACTATACAACCATAGTATCAAATCAGTCGGAACATCCAGGAACACTCAAATCCCGAAAGAATCTGTAAAAGAACCAAAAAACCGATTTTTGGCCCAACTGCCATTTGGTGGCTCGACCATCGCCGTTGACGCAACCCGGCCGCCAGAGGCTTTCTTGGGTTTGACTGGTTCCGTTGTTTATGTGTATTTCATTGTTTCGCCGATCAGTACACTTCCTTGATTTGCTTCGTGCATTTCGTGAACGCGCGGATCGCTTGACGGTTCGCTTGACGGTGGCTGGTGAGTGTACGAAATTGTCGGTGAGCGCACGGGGTGTTTGGTTCGCCGTTCCGATGACCGTTGAGCGTACGGGCTACTTGACAGCGACCGATAAATACGTGGGTCACTCGGATAAACCTTCTCGACTTGGATGATGACATTTATCACCTCCTCTTCATCTCGAGCCGTATTCAGGAACCTATAGGTATTTTTAGATGCCTACAATACCAAGAACTCAATTAAGTTAGGGGATCAGCTTTTTGCATCAAAAACGGATCGCAAAAGGAGAGATCGACAACCTCTTGAGCAGATCATCTTCGGATCTTGGAGATTTCTCGGATCTGGAGATCAGAAAAGGGGGGTCTTCGCTCAATCTCTAGAGCATTCCTTGGAGCTTTCATCCTTGGCTTATTAACTGATTTTCGGTTCAAATCAACTCTGTTACAGAGTTTAAACTCATTCTGAGTTCCTAAACTCGATCCGAGTTATCAACTCATCCAGAGTTTCAAACTTGCTTTGCAAGTTCTCCACAGCATCAAATCGTGAGGAGAAGATATCATTCCAGTGAATCAAGACATTCAGATCGTCAACGAAGAGCAAACTCGACACGAGCATTCAAACTGGGATCGAGTTACTCCATCGCCACCGTGAAGAACCCAAAATTAAACAAAAGGGAGAATCCAGATCATTCTCCCCTCTTTTGTAATCAGGAAATCCAATTATAATCAAGATTGAGAGAGCTGTAATCATTCTTTTTCTAAGCAGGTAGAGAGAATAAATCAAATACGATTCTTTGATTATTTTTCTTATTACAAATTTTCCACAAAACAACCACAACAAGGATTAAATCGTGTTTTATGAGGGTTTTCGGGAGACCTAACACGAAATCCATACTAAGATCTTACCATGGGCAATCACGGGCCGGCAAAGGAGTGCACAAACAAGTGTTCTGTTTTCGTTGTTTGGCTAATTAGTAGATATGACATCTCCCAACACAATTGGTAACATCGCATTTCAAACTGGGCCAATAGAATCGATGTTCTATGGCTTCAATGGTCTTTTCATTTCCAAAGTGCCCAGCTAAACCTCCAGCATGCAATTCCCACACAAGAAATTCTCGTAGAGAAGTTTACGGAATGCACAATCTACGGCCTAGAAATAAGAATCCATCTTGAAGGATATAGCCGACAATTTCCCGAGTCGTCCCATCAATCAACATTGCATACATCTCACTAAAGTCGGGACATGACTCATAATCCATTTTAAGTTTCTCAAAACCAACAACAACTGTGGATAATTTTGTCAGGACATAGACTCGTCGGCTGAGAGCATCAACAGCCTTGTTGTCAACTCTCGCTTTATGTCGCAAGGTGAAGGACATAGACTCGTCGGCTGAGAGCATCAACAGCCTTGTTGTCAACTCTCGCTTTATGTCGCAAGGTGAAGGTTTAATCCTAAAGAAATTCAACCCAACGTGCATGACGGGAATTCAACTTTTTCTGTGAGTAAGTATATAAAAGGGGTTCATGATCTGAGTATATGACAAATTCTTGTGGCAGCATGTAATGGCGCCAATGGCGAAGTGATTGAATTACAGCGTAAAATTCTTTGTCATAGGTGGTGTATCGCAGACGTGTATCATTCAACTTCTCACTAAAATATACTACTGGATGACCTTCCTGAGAGAGACCTCCATCTATGCCAACTCTAGAAGCATCGCATGCAACTTCAAAGATTTTGTTAAAATCGGACAGGCGCATAACAGGGGCATTGACCATTCTCTCCTTGATTTCCAAAAATGCTTTGGTGGCTTCGCGTGACCACTCAAATTCACCTTTCTTCAAACTGTCGGTGATTGGAGCCATGATCATGCTAAATCCCTTGATAAACCGATGGTAAAAGGTAGCGAGCCCGTGAAAGCTTCTCACATCACTGGTGTTCTTAGGCTCGGGCCAATCATTTATCGCTTTGACTTTCTCATGATCTGCAGATACTCCTTCAGCAGAGACTACAAACCCTAATAATTGAACCTGTGTGGTAAGAAAGGTACATTTCTTTGGATTCGCATACAGTTCATCCTTTCTTAGTATAGATCAAACTTGTCGCAAATAGTTGAGATGTTGCTCATGAGATTGACTATAAATGAGGATGTCGTCAAAGTAGACTACCAAAAATTTACCCATGAACGGACGTAGTACTTGCGTCATCACTCGCATGAAAGTACTCGGAGCATTGGTCAATCTGAAAGGCATGACCATCCATTCGTACAACCCATCCTTCGTTTTGAAGGTGGTCTTCCATTCTTCTCTAGGACGAATGCAGATTTGGTGATAGCCACTCTTTAAATCAATCTGTGAAAAGACAGTAGAGCCAGACATCATATCCAACATATCATCCAAACGTGGGATAGGAAAATGATACTTCACCGTTATCTTATTGATGGCAGACTATCCACACACATATGCCATGATCCATCTTTCTTTGGCGTCAGCGAAGCGGGAACCGCGCAAGGACTCATGCTCTCTTGGATAAAACCTTTTTAAGCAACTCATCAACTTGCCTCTTGAGTTTAGTATGTTCAGTAGGATTCATCCTATAATGTGGCAAGTTGGTAAGACTCGCTCTAGGGACTAGATCAATAGCATGTTGAATGTCACGCATTGGTGGTAACTTCTCTGGGAGATCTTCAGGGAAAACGTTAGCAAATTCCGAGATCATCGGAGTGACTTCAGGAGGAAGGGAGGTGTTAGATTCTTTAGCAACCTCCCTGGTTATGAGTATCATGATTGGGACTCCCTTTTCAAACTCTTGACAGATCTCCTTTGCTGTGATCAAACTAACACCATTATTTTGTTTTACTGCAACTGGTTTTTGTTTAGGTTGCCTAGCCTTAGGTGCATTGAGTAGTAACTTGATCTTCTTTCCTTCATGTTCAAAATGGCTCGTGTTTGATCGACCATAGATAGTTATATCATTATCGTACAGTCATGGTCGTTCAAGGATGACATGACCTACATCCATGGCCACAACGTCACACCAAATATTATCCTTGTAGAGATTAAAGTCTATCGGTACAAGCATATTTGTTTGACATCTAGTGCGATAGAATCAATCCATGTGACTCTATAAGGGTGCGGATGGGGTAAACTTTCAAACCAAACATCACGAGTTCTGTAGATGATATTGCATTGATGCAGCTTCCACTGTCCACAATAATTTTACATGATTTTACTCCAATCTTTGTGAATGTGTGGAACATGTTTGTTCGTCTCCAATCATCCTTATCCTTTGGTTGGGACAAGGCACATCTAGCGACTGCTAGTTGACTTGACGGTGTTGATCGAATGCAACTAAGACTAATGTCATTCTCGTCAAATTCCTCACTTGAATCAAAATCCTCTTCTTCCACATGATAGACAAATTCATCTGTCTTTGACTCTAATTCTTCTATAGGCTCTCTGATGACAATGGCGATTTTAACTGGACTTGGACAGTTAGCGGCCACATGCCCATACCCTTGGCATTTGTAACATTTAGTAGTGGAACTAATCTTTGAGAAATTCCTTTCAGTGCCCTTGCCTTTGTTATCCCGTTCTTTACTCCCACTCGAGGTATCAGTCTTCTGTGATGATGTTTGAGTTTGAAATCGAGTTGGATATTGACTCGAAGTATGTTTGTGCCCTTGTACGAAATTCTTGAAAGTGGAGCTAGACCTCGTAATATCTAAGTCCTGAACTATGGCATAGGCTCTCTCAAGCTCAGAAATTCCTTGAATCAAGAGTTTATTTCGCAAATCTTCTCGAAGTCTAGCTTTAAATCGGGAGAGAGTTTGGTGTGGATTCTCAGTGTTCAAAGCATTACACTAAATGTGGAACTCTTCAAATTGAGTAACATAATCCTTAGCGGATTTATTACCTTATGTAAATCGGTTCTAGTTGTCGAGAAGGCGGTCATGGTAAGAGACATGTACGTACTTCTCTTTGAGCTTGCCTTTCATAACCACCCATGTGTTGATGAGACCCATTTGGCGAGCTACTCTCATCATTTCTAGGTTAGCCCAGAATTGGCTAGCTTGACCCGTTAGCTTCATTGCCGCAAATTTGATTCTTCTCTCTTCGGAAAGTGGATACCAGTTGAAGTAATCGTCCACTTGTCGGATCCATTCCAAGAAATCTTTAGGCTCCGATTGGCCATCAAAAGTGGGAACGTCTAGCTTAATGCTCTTCAGGTATCGTTCATCAGGGTCTTGAGTATTACGTCTTTGGTGCGTTCTGATCGGCATGTGCTCTTCATTGTGTTTGTTGTTTTGCGTCCCACATGTTTATAACCTCTGCAATCTCTCACGGTCTTCTTGTTGAGATTGACGAACTTCGTTCACCGCTTAGGTTAAGGAGTTGAGTTGACTTATGAGGTCGGCTATAGGGAACGTGCTGGAATCCATTCTAAAATTGTCCGACTCGCTAGACTCTCCTAATAAATAAGGTTGACCACTACAGAGTGGCATGCACTAATCACGTCCAAATAGACTAAATGATGCAGTTTTTTTTAAAATAATGTAATTGTAGACAGAATAATAAATGCAAACTAAATATGATGCAATTTCCTACCTAACTGTGCTCTAATACCAAAATGATGTGAAACAAAATGTGTGTATTCGAAAGATCAACAATCTAATTGAAGTTCGCGATGTTTCTCCAACTAAATAACGATCGTGTAGGAAATAGATTCAAAATTCCTTAATATTGAATTAAATTACAACTGTAGTTCTGAATCGTTTTTTTACCCTCATTGAAATTGAACGCATTCATTGTTATGAGAGTATTGTTCTACTCTCAATATCAAAATTCAGCAAACTAAAGAATCAACACATCACATATCTCACGGGTTTGCATATGGACAACAGTAATTTGATAACAGATTAGAGATATAATTTAAAGGAGGAACCTAACAATATTCTAACAGTTGAAATTGAAGATTACCTGATAGAATTCGTGATTCGAGCTCACTTGTTTTACCTTTGTTGTGCAGGCTGATCGGATCTAATGATCGAGGCACTGGTGGAGGTAGGTCATCGGTGGAGGAGGGGCAGATTGCCTTGATCGAGATCCAGAGGTCGTACTGGAGAAACTCTCGTCAGTCTTCGTCGTGGTCGAGCTATCCAGCGAAGGGTGAAGGAGGAAAAGCCGGTGGATCTGCTAGAGGAGGAGATGAGCGGCGGGAAAAGGTGGCGCAGGTCACTGTTAGGTGGAGCTGGTGCTAGTGGGGGCCTTGGTTAGAAGGAGGCGCTGGAGTGAGAGGCGTGCAGGCATCTCTGATGAGGAGAGGGTGGCGCTGTTCAAGGGAGGAGGGGAAGAAGGGATGGTGGCCTGGCGGCTGGGAAGAGGAGAGAAGCTACGGGAAACAACTAGGGGTTTTTTTCTTTTATTTTTGTAATGATTGATTAGGATGTATTTGTGGGGATATTGAATGGTTGGATTTGAATGGGAGTGGGGATAAAAAAAACTAGGGTTTCACACACCTAGATTTAATATTTGGGTTTCACACACCAAATACTTAAAGAAAGAATTTTCATTATTTGGAGAAACTCAAATATTTTTCATCAATAATTTATTACCTTGCTTACAAACCAACCCGCCTTTAAATAGGCTTACAAAATGTTCCATCTCTCTCCACATCCGATGTGGGACTAAAATAAAGCTCTTATTAAACAAAACTAAACTACAACTCTTATTAAAAGAAAACAACTGAAAATACAGACTCGACTTAATCTCAACTAAAACCACATAGTGGGAATTCGATGCAAAACTGAAGCACGTCATCTCCTGTGCTGATAGACATGTAGAAAGTTCCGTGCGTGTGCCTGGATGTCTGCGTACAATCTTGTCGGTAGATATGATGCCAATTCAAAGTTATCTTCCTTCTCTGCCTCTGAAGCTAGTTTTCTCTTGATTCTTAAGACTATACAACCTATTACAATAGCTGCAGCAAATAAGCCTGCGAGCGTGACTCCCAATATGATCGCGAACCCTATTCTTTTCTTTTGAATTTGCACCTTGATATAAGCTGATGAATTGTACCTGCTGACTTGAGGATTGTCTCGCTAAGAGGATCCGAACAGAGGGTCAGGTATTAAGACCTCATCTATTAATGCCCGCCCATCTATGTCCTATCGGTAATGCCTTAGATGCCCATTAGACTCTAATCTGATGACCTGCGATGACGACGCATGTTCGTAGAATCTGAGGACATGATGAGGCTTCCGTCGATGAAGGTTATGTAAGTAGTCTTACTCCACGAACTACTCTTTTGTTGATAGTAAAGTTGAGGAGGATCTGAATCTACGTAAGCTTCCAGCCCTCCACTAACAACACTGAGATAAAACTAACCTCGACTCCAATCCATAGCTAAAACATTTGCAATCAACCTCTGCCCCTCCTTCAGAGTCTGACCAAGAACCCATGAGTCAGTCAAGTAATAAAAAGAATCCTAAGTTTTTGCATTACTACTGTCGAACAGCTCTAGCCTTCCCTCCTTGCTCAATCTCATCCCCACTACAGATTTTCCTACAATGTTAGTGGACCAAACCAGATTATCACCCGCGTCTTTGAGGGACAAGTTGTCATCTTGGGAGAAATGGAGGGTCGCATTCTCGCCCACCGGATGATCTCTATTAGCGGACCATATGACCTGTGTAGGATATGACGAGGGATGAAGAAAGATGGCTGCAAAGACGAAGGAGTCACAACCGAGGTGGTCGNTAGTCGATCCGATTGCAGAAGAAGCCACAGGTGACGACAGGGAATGTTGGGAGGTAGTCGAAACTTTGGGAAGAAAGTAAAGTTACTTTTTATTAACTGCAATTACACGTTAAACAAATCAATCAAAGCCTTAAATAGGCTTACACCAATACTGAAATAGCTAAAAATAAAAAAATGCTATTTGGCTCACAGCCTCCAGCACGCACGCAACGCGCAAGATAGAGGAACAGGGGGTACGACCCAGCTATGGGCCCCACCCCCTTGTTCGTCTCCCTTGCGCGCTGTGTGCGTGCTAGGGGGCTGCGAGGGGGCTGCGAGCCAAATAGCAGCGCTCTAAAAATAAGCAACTAATCTGAGAAAGTGGGGAAATATGGCCCACGACTTTAACTGCATAAATGAAAATGCTAACCAAGTAATTAAAGATTAAAGGACCCACTAAAACAAAAAAATAGCAGCCACAAATAAAAAATAAAATAAAATAAAATAAAATAAAATAAAATAAAAAATGACCCACTAACTATTTAAAGCGCCACGGTACTATGCAACACTCCCCTTTGCTTCAAAGTTTGTAACCCCCATTAGCAGCCTGAATCTTTCATGTTTTGCATACGATAGTGACTTGGTAAGTATATTAGCAACTTGGTCATTCGTGCTATAATGCTGCATATCAATTGTTCCTTCAGCAACCAGATTTTGAATGAAATGATATCGAATATCAATATGATTTGTCCTGCTATGAAAAGCTGGATTTCTGGCCATACTAATTATTGCCCTGTTGTCACAAAAAACTTTAGTTGCACCTTCTTGAATCTGACAAAAATTAGTTAACAATCTCCTGAACCAAACAGCTTTACAAACAACAGCAATTGCAAGTATATATTCTGCTTCAGAAGATGATAATGTCACAATCTCTTGCTTCTTTGAACTCCATAAGAGAACACCAAATCCAAGAGAGAAAACATGACTCGAAGTACTTTTTTTGTCATCTAAATAACCTACCCAATCACTGTCAGCAGAACCACGTAGCTTAATATTTGATACTTTCGAGTACCAAATCCCAAAGTCTATTGTTCTAGCGATATAACAAAGAATTCTTTTTGCTACACCGAGATGATGCATAGATGGGCTATGTGTTTGGTGGAAATTTTGTAATAAGAAGAAAATTAAAAGAATTGAATTTCACAGATTGTTTACAAATCTCTCTCTCTCTCTCTCTCTCTCTCTCTCTCTCTCTCTCTCTCTCTCTCTCTCTCTCTCTCTTTCTCTCTCAATTATAATTTGAATTCCTGATTACAAAAGAGAAGAGAATTGATGCAAATTCTCTCCTTTGTTTAAGTCTGGGTTCTTCATGATGGCGATGGGGTGCCTCCCTCGAATACTCGCGTCGAATTTGCTCTCCGTTGACGATCCGAACGTCTTGTTTCACTAGAACGTGGTTGATTCCTCTTGATTGATATCGATGACAACTTGCATGGTAAGTTTGAAACTCTTGACGAGTTAATAACTCAGAGCAAGTTTTGAACTCTAATCGAGTTAAAGAACTCTAAACGAGTTTAGAAGAACTTGCAAAGTAAGTTTTAAACTCTGATCGAGTTGAGAAGAACTCTTAGAAAGAGTTCACAAGCCAAGCCGAGTAATCTAAAAGGATTCAATGAAAGCCTTCCAAGATGATCCATGAGTTCCTCCAAGTTGCTGATCTCCAAAGCTCCAAAAAGAAGATCTAAAGAAGGCGATCTCTAGATCTCTCAAACGCCCAACCGATTCAAGTCTTAAAGAAGATCCCCGAACTCAATTGAGTTTCTAGTATTTATAGGGGATTGAGGGGTGTAACCGCCCCTTAATCCACTCCTTAATGGGGGCTTAATTGCCCCATTAATCGGGTGTAACAGACCCTTAAACCGCTCCCCAAATCGTGGGGAAAATGATTTTGAAACTATTCAGTTCGTGCTTTGAATGAGTCAAACGTTGAAAGTTTGTTTTTAGTATTAAAAATAATTTACAAAGTTACACAATTTTTAGAAGTCATTTCGGTATTTTTACAAATTTTTAAAGAGTCAAAAACTGGTTTTAAAATAGATATCTTTTGTGTCAGTTTGCTGTCGACCGCCACGATCGACCGCACCTATGTTTTTCTCTTAGTGGGCAGCAGAAACTTTCATGGTTGACCATGACAGTCGATCGACAATCTAAAAATTCTCACGGTCGACCGTAAAAGTCTCTGGAATTTTTCTCAGATTCGAAAGTGGCTTGCGGTCGACCGTGAAAATTTCACGGTCGACCGCCGTTCACCCCAACGGATTTTTTGGTACAGCTTTAGAAAATCATTTTTACGTGATTTTGGGGGATTTGGGTATAGGTTTTTACAGCTGTTCTTTTCCTATATAAACCCTTCTACCCCTCTTCTCCTACATGCTCTTGTCTATTGAAAAAATCCTGTTGTCTTGTTTTACTGTTTTCAAAAGAGCCTCAAACTTTCAAACCTGTTTTCTCTGTTTTTCAAGTTCACATCCTAAGCTTTAGTGTC